ATCCCTCCCCCAAGTTGACAGGTACTTAGTTAGACCTTTAAGTTAAGTGTTAGATTGGTTGTTTAGGAGTTAGAGTCCTGGCTGGGACTTCGCCTTAAGGCCGGGCATACACCGTTCCCCAGGCTTTAAGCCATGTTCATCATGCAGCAAGCCAATGCCCATTAGTGACCCCCTATGAGAGCTGTTTAAAGTGTTTGGGGGAGTCCACAGAAAGGATAAGTGCAGATCTGCAGAAACTTTCGCCTTCAAACTCATGCATTCCCTAGATGTCAGAAGGGCGCTAGCCTACATTGAAAGGATCAAGCCATTCCACAAGTTGACGCAATTCTTCGTCGCGGTGGCCGACAGGATGAAAGGTTGTCCAGTGTCCACTCAAAGAATTTCTTCTTGGATCACTGTCTGTTTTCGCTGCTGCTACAATCAGGCGAAGATGCCACCTCCGGCGATTGTCACCGCCCACTCAACCAGGGCGCAAGTCTCTTCGGCAGCTTTCCTAGCCCAAGTGCCTATCCCAGGACATCTGTAGGGTAGCCACCTGGTCATCTGTCCATACGTTCACATCCCATGACACACTTATCCAGCTGGCCCAGGACAATGCTGGCTTTGATAAAGCAGTACTGCAAGCCGCTGAACTGTGAACTCAGAGCCCGCCTCCGAGGATACTGCTTGTGAGTCACCTAGAATGGAATCTACATGAGCAACCACTCAAAAAAGAAAAAACCTGTTACCTACTTTTTCATAACTGTTGTTCTTCAAAATGTGTTTTCTAATGTCCATTCCATTACCTGCCCCTCTGTCAGATTGCTGGCAAGAAGGAACTGAGAGAGCATAGGGTTGGCAATGTCTAATATACCAGCACATGAGCGAGGCACTCAAGAAGATGCTACAACCAACCCTACAGCTACCACTAAGACAAAAATCTCCCATGGGTGCGCACCCGCCTAGAATGGAATGAACATTAGCAATCATGGAGCAATGGAGAACAAGGAGCAATGGTCTCAAGTTGCAGCGGGGGAGGTCTAGGTTGGATATTAGGAAACACTATTTCACCAGGAGGGTGGTGAAGCACTGGAATGCTTTACCTAGGGAGGTGGTGGAATCTCCTTCCTTGGAGGTTTTTAAGGCCCAGCTTGACAAAGCCCTGGCTGGGATGATTGAGTTGGGGATTGGTCGTGCTTTGAGCAGGGGGTTGGACTAGATGACCTCCTGAGGTCCCTTCCAACCCTGATATTCTATGATCTCGAAAAACAACAGTTACGAAAAGGTAGGTAACCATTTTTCTATGCCATTTTTTATGCTGGTGTGCTGTGATCATTGCCTATCATACTGACCAAATATTCTCATTGTTCCTTGTGCTTCCCTGTCTGTATCCATTTGTTATCCCTTCTCTTACATTTAGATTGTAATCTCTTTAGGGCAGGGATTGTTTTTTGTTGTGTGCATATCCCCTACCTAACACAATGGAGTCCTGGTTGCTGCAGTAATACAAATATGCAGCTTACGCACCTCAACTAGCTTTGCACCATGCCCATCCATTAGCCTAGTGGCTCTTGCTTTTCGCTGTCACGGGCGAGTGTTCACGTGTGACATCTCTAGGGGGCTGGAGAATGAGAACAGGCCAGTGGGGGGGTAAGAGCTCACCTCCTGAGGGAGTTTATGGCAACCCAATTATTTAATATAGTTCCTTGAGTAGTAGGTGACCAGCCTACCACTGGAATCAAAGCATGGAGGCCTTACTCCCAGGCCCAGCTCTCGGACCATGTGCCAGGCCACCACAACAGGCCAGGGCTTGTGATCTAACTGCCATAAAATGTGTCTCCTCTGTGTTCCCTTCCTGCCTCTTTCCTCCCAGGGCCTGTTCTGGACCCCTTATGTCTCCCAGCCTCTTTCCTTTCCTCTGTCATCCTCAACTAGGCCTGTTCTTGGCCCTTTGTGTCTCCCAGCCTCCTTCCCCACTGCCTGGTCTGGGTCCATTCCTGCCCCCATCTTGTGTCCTGGTCTCCTTTCCCGCCCATAGCCCCCAGGCTCAGGACAGGCCTGCCCCAGCAGGAGGCGTCTGTCCCCAAGCCGACCCCTGGAGCAGGGGACACCCCTGGCTGGGGCGAAGGGGGCTGGGCCCTGCTGCCCCCACGATGGGGGGCAGAAGGCTCCTCCCCCCGAGTGTGGCCCCGCCCCTCCTGACCCAACGGCCACGGAACCCTCTGCCCCCGAACGTTCTACGCCGCGCGGCGCGGCGGGCCACGAGGAGCCTCCTGTTGGCCGCAGCGGCCCTCCCCGCCGCAGGGGGCGCTGCCACCCCGCTGTCCGGCGGCGGAGGCGGGCGCTGCTGCTGTCCCACAGGGCTGTGCGCGGAGGGGCGGCCCCGCACATGGCTCGGCTGCGGCCCGGCCCCGTTCCTCCGGCACTGAGCGGGTGAGCGCCCGGGGCCTGCGCGCCGCCCTGCGGGGATGATGCAGCCGGGAGCCGCGCGGAGCAGCGCCGGGGGCCGCGCGGAGTGAGGCGGCCGCGGGCCCGAGCCCCCCGGGCGGGGGGATGCTGTCCCGGAAGAAGACGCGCACGGAGCTCTCCAAGCCGGGCGAGGTGCAGGGCAAGTACGTGAAGAAGGAGACCAGCCCGCTGCTCCGCAGTGAGTGTCCGGGGCGGCGCGGCGCGGCGCGGCGCGGCAGGAGCCTTGGCTCGGGGGGAGGGGAGGAGGAAAAAGCGCCCCCGCGGGGGTAGTGGGGAGCGTGCCCCGGGCCTGGAGTTGTGGGGCAGCGGGGAGCGGGGGTAGTGGGGAGCGTGCCCCAGGGCTGGAGTCGTGGAGCAGTGGGGAGCAGCCCCCTGTGGGGCAGTGGGGAGCAGCCCCCCAGGGGGCAGCGGGAAACGTGCCCCGGGCCTGGAGTCCTGACTGGAGGGAAAGAAGACCCCCCCCCAACACCCACCCTAGGAGGTGGGCAGGGGCCTATAGTGACACCCTGGCCACCTGATGTGATGGTAAAACCTCTGTTCTTTGACTGCAATTGAAGGGGAGCCTTATTAACTTGATATGTAGGATCCGATGGGATAGCTCAGATGTATGTCAAGAAGTATGTGCCAGTGTACATAAGTTGTACGTATTTGAATTGTTGGTGATTGCTTTTATTTTAAGAATACATTTCACGGAAGGGACTGTTTTTCTCCTGTGTTTTGTTTATACATTGCTGAGTGTAATGGTCACCAATCCCAATAGAGGGTCTTTTGGGCACTACCACAATCTCAATAAATCAAATGCAAATTAAATCTGTTAAAACTTTTGAGGTACTACACCTGCCCATAAATCCTCTAGCCAGCTGGGATTGTATGGTATTTACCAGAGATGGTTTTTACCAGCTAAAATCATGGTTTTTACTGCCCTGGGAAAAACAATTAGTCCCAGTTTAAGGTATTTTCGGTTTTAAAAACTGTTTTGTTAATGCACACCCCATTACACTTAGTTTTAGTTACCTATTAAAATTGTGGTTACATAAGGCAGCAGATTCAGAGATTAATTTAGGGTTGTACAAAAAAAAGTAAAACTGCAGTGGATGTAATACTAATACGTGTAACTGTAATAATGAGCATCAGAATGTCTGTACTTTTTTGCAAAAAGAAGAACAGGAGTACTTGTGGCACCTTAGAGACTAACAAATTTATTAGAGCATAAGCTTTCGTGGACTACAGCCCACTTCTTCGGATGCATATAGAATGGAACATATATTGAGGAGATATATATACAC